TCTAAACATCGCCGGCCCTTCCGCGCGCGCGATTTTCCTCCGCGCGTCTCCCGCACCCCTTTTTCTCTCTGGCCGCTCCGACCGACAGACCGACCGACCGACTCCCCCGGCGCTAATTCTAACAAAAGGACCTTCCTCTCGCGGCAAGTTCCGCCGGGCGTGGAAAATGGAGAACACAGCGCGTAAACACGACCCGCCCCCGCCGTCCGAAACACGTTGCCGGCGAATTTTGCCGATGAAGAGTGGCGGTGTGAGAGGGAAGGAGAGAGAGAGAGAGAGAGAGGGGGGTCCCTGCAGCCCCCGCAGGTTTCGCCGGTCGAGAAAGAGGGTGCGTGAACGGCGGGAGACGCGCGAGCGCTCGACGATCCGCGGATGAATGTCGCCCGAGTTATAATTGCAACGAGCCGTAATTAGTTTTGGAAATTTAATTATTTCCGCGCGGTCGGACCGCGCGATAAATGCCGTCGCGCGGCACGAAGCCTCCCGGCGAAGAATTATTTGACGATTTCCGCCGCTCACACCCCCGCAGCGCGCGTTAATCTCACTTGGGGGGTGACTTGGGGCGTCGGTCGCGGGCGATTCTGTGTAATTGCGAATCGTTAGTCCACGTTCCGCGCCGGACGGACACCGCGCGTTTCACTTGGCGACCGAAACCCACCCCCCGCGTCCCGCGAAAACGACATCCCACCCCGCGATCTAGCGAAAATGCGGGTCTGTCGCATTGTCTCGCGCTGCGTAGACGCGTGTTTATTCCCGAGAGGAAAAACGCTCGATATTCGAGCCGCTCCACAGTTACTTGCCGTCGGAAATTATAATCGCGATATACAGGGTGTGTATAAAAAGGGTTCAGGATTTTTAAGAAAAATAAAAGAAGATCCGGGTAAACATGAGTCGAAAAATTCATATCGCCGGAGTTGTGAATAATTATTTATCTCAATTAAAGCAAGCGACAAGAAATGGCAGAAATGTATTGCCAATACTTCACCAGAAGCGAGTAAGTCATGCTCTGATTCAATTTTATTTCTCGACCAATGTTTATTAGAGGACTTTCTTCCTAGCCTATCTATCTGCCCTTAACTCTTCGCCCCTTAACCCTTTGCACTCGAGGAATATTTTCACGTTTCCTTCCGGCGACTCGACAATTCTAAATATAATTTCTAGATTCCTAGAAGAAGTACAAGAGAGGATCTTTATTTCCTTTCACAGTAGTTGCCGCAAATTCTATTGCTTGATTGCTTTCTGTCTTTGAATTTTTATCATGCCAGCAGAGCTGGCATTCCGAGTTGCCGGAATAAACGTTCATGCCAGCTGTGCTGGCATTCCGAATGCAACGGGTTAAAGTCCTGAATTCTTTCTTTTAAACAGCCTATAATCGTAATGAGACCGCAAGTCGAAGATAATAATCGCAATCTGCGACCGGACCGACCGCGTCGCGACGATCCGCGCCGACCTTCCACCTCGTCGCTCGTCCGAGTGCCGTCGAGTGTCTCGAGAGACGCGTGAGTTTCGCTTCCGCGTGTGGACACTCGACTCGCTCACGAGAGTCCGCAATGTCGCGCGGCCATAAATCGCCGGAAACGCAGATACATCGATCAGTCGTGAGAGTCGCGGCATTACCGCGGTGCGCCCGATTAGCGATATGAATTCTTCCGGCGTGTCCGCGCGCGACACCGGCGCCCCCGCCACAAAGTAAAAGTTCATCGAAGCCGCCGCGTCAGACGCGTGTTTACGTCGCGATTTCTCACCGTTTCCCCTCCGCATCCCCTCCCCCCTCCCCCCATCTTCCTGTCACATCCCCTCCCCCGCGTCTCTCGCGCTTTTCATCGGAATAATCGCGAGCGAATGAGCGCGCGGTGGGGCCCGATTGAGCGATAGATAACGATGAGTCACACTGCCGTCACACGCGATTTATTCATATTTTCCAGTTGCGAGCGAGAAGAAGTATTCTCTAATTGCACGTTTGTCCGACGCGGGCCGTAATTGACGGCGCGAAGGCGCGGAGTCGCCGGCCGGCCGGTTCCAACGGTTTCTCATGCGTCAGCCCTCCTTGCGTCGATCCTTGAGGCGCTCTTACGTAGGACGGCGCGCGTAATGCATGCGCGTTGCGCAAACGTAGAGAGTCGGTGAAGGCAGGCGCAGCGCGCATAAATTGATATTACCGCAAAGAATCCGAGCGAGCGCGTTCGCTACTTTCCGCCGGTCGCCGCTTATCGCGCTCGCGACTCATAACTGGATAACCGGGATTGCATAAATCGTCGGATCGGTTCAGGTCACGCACGCCTGGCCTGCACAATCGGTCGCGCGCGCTTGTTGTATTATTAATAATAGAGACGCTTGCTCTCTCTCTCTCTCTCTCTCTTTCTCGCGCGCGCAGCATTGGCGCTTCAAAATTTTATCCCGGCCGGGAGGAAACGTATAAAAATTCGCGCCCGCATGTATATATGTGTGTGCACGCGTATTTTATTATAAACCAATTTCCAGCGTGAATATTTTACGTTTCGCGAAATGCGCTGCATGCGTAATTAAACTCTGAAAGATTAAACGTTTCCATCGTTATACGCGGTAATGCAACGATCAGAGCGCGATCGCAATTGTTTTAATTGCGGCATAAATTCCGCGTTACATAACGTAAAGCTAAACGTAAGCCGCTGATATGTATACCCGTATACCCGAGCAAAAAATTAGGGCCATCCTCGCGATGCATAAGGCCCCGATAAGGCTGAAAGTAGGATTCCCTTAAAAGGGATGCCTCATTACTATACCACGTCAGACACCGAGATGAATCCTTTAGGAATACTTTAGATTTTACGAAATAAGGCTTTAATAAAGAAAACTGATGAGGGCCTTAGAGGAATTTATTAGGGATTTAGTCTTAGATGTAATAAATTAGGCTTTGATAGAAAAAGCTTAGAAGGATTTATTAGAGATGCCTTAGATTTTACGAAATAACGCTTTAGCATGGAAAACTAATGTGGGCCTTAGAAGGCCTTAGAAAGATCTTTTAAGGATGCTTTAAATATACAAAATCAAGTTTTGTCATAGAAAATTAATAAGATCTGAAGCGTGTAATAAAATTGTCATAATTTATTATTGTTTTATTATTGTTTGTTTTATTAGGTATGCGCTCTGTCGTCTGGTTCTTTTAAAAATTTTTAACCGCAATTGAAAGTAAATTTTATTAGTTTTATTAGCTGCCATATTCATTAGTCCCTTCCAAGGATTTTTCTAGTATCGTCTTTATTTTGAGATGCAGCAAATCTTGATAAAAACAGTAGCAAGATTTTTATGTGTAAAACATACTATATTTTATTGTAAAGTATGCTATATTTTTAAAATAAAAAATTCTTGTTATATACCAATAAGGTTATAAAGAAATAAAGAGATTATAAATCTAAATTTCTTGGAATGGAAAGAATAAATATTTGTACTCGAGCAGTAATCAAAATATTTCCTCATAAGGCCCTTATAATATTGCCTTATAAGGACCTGTTAAGCCATTTGTTACACATCTTGATGGCCCTTGTCTTCCTATTCCTACTATGGCCCGATTAATGTTAGAGAAAAATAATCAGGCCCTTACCAGGGCCCTATTAATTTTTCTCCTCGGGTACCGTTCACATATACTCGCGTGCTCTTATTAAGGATATCATCGGCCGTTTGTGCGCAAAGAACGTCGTTTGACGCGTTCGCCGTCCGCGGCGTCCTGCCTCTCTCGATCAACGTTTTCGGAAATTAATGCTCCGATTCTCTCACGATGCCGACGACGGCTACGGCGGCGGCGGCTTGCCGCGCTCATTGTTCGAATTCTAAGGGCAAACACGCCGTTAAAAATTTATCAATACGCGGCCCACGCATATTGAAGCGATATTTCATCCCTCTCGCCGTCGGGCCTCCCGGCCGCCCATGTTTTTGTAATTTGGCACGCTTCCGCATTTTTATGCGGTGTAACGCGCGGCGCGGCCCACGATCGATATGAATTAAAGGTTATCGAGAGCCGGGAAGGAGGATACGGTGGCCTTTTGTTGCTCGTCGGCGAGAGTCATCGCCCCGGCTGACTGCTGGGATAGTTTTGTCTGCAACGATTCGGAAAGTCGGAGTGTGCCTCCTGACGTTTCCGTCTCTTCATTCTTGCGCCGCAAGAAACGATCGCTCCGCGCGTAATTCTCGTCTTCATTAGGAGGGAGCGCGCGGATTCGAAGGATGAATGCGGGCGACACTCTCAAAAATTTATAGACACTAGCGGTCGCACCCTCTTGGCGACTTTTCAAACGGATCCTTACAAAGGCCGTCTCCGTCGCTCGTTCGCTCTCTCGCTCTCTCTCTCTCTCTCTCTCTCTCTCTCTCTCTCTCTCTCTCTCTCTCTCTCTCTCTCTCTCCCCCCCTCTCTTTTCCCCCGAAGTTTTGTCTGGCCTCTCGCGTGTGGCACCCTCGAAATTCACCCCTCTCTGCAGGCGCCGGTTTATGAATCTTTAAGAAAGCATCGGGGCACGCGGAGAACCAGCGGAGCGCGGTCTTTGTTCGGCGAGCTCGTTTACCCGTTACAAAGTGTCTGGGATCTGTGCTAGGAGTCGGGATAAATGATTAAAGAGGGATCGCTGCTTGCCGCGGGATTTACGAGTGCTGAAACAATGCGAGATTTCGCCATTGTTGCGCGTGCACCGTGTGCGGCCGGGATACTCGACTGCTTCTGGGGGATGCGCTCCGGTGAGAGTACTTAACGCGTATGAAAAATAAAAAGCTCCTTCTCACTTCCTCCTCACTTCCTACCGGCGCCGGTCATTAGACTTCATAGATATTTGCGACTGACAAACTGCAAAGTTCCTCGACATCGCGTAATATCTTTACGGAGAGTAAAGCCTTCCCCCTCACCCCTTCCCCGCTCGCCCCCCCCCTCTCTCTCTCTCTCTCTCTCTCTCTCTCTCTCTCTCTCTCTTTCTAAGTTGCTTTAAGCGTTCGCAAAGCCATCAATAACGAGGCCTGTTTTCTTGTTATGTTTCCAGCGATCATGGCGCATTTCTTCTTCCTGGCTGCCTTCTTCTGGCTGAACACGATGTGCTTCAACATCTGGTGGACATTCAGGTATGTCATAACTTGTCTCCCGTCCTCTCGCTATTTTTGCAAGAGGTGACCGACCGACTGTGTCGCCTGAAAATGCGGCTAGGAAAGCGTACACTTGACGAGTCTGTAAAACGGAAATCTGTCGCGTAGGTTAATAAGAGGTAAACGACCCACTTATTGACCCTTTAAAACCAGCAAAGATGGTTATTCTTTATTTATGGGAGCAACACGAGAAATGAAATTGATAACAGATAGTTCTGTCGCGCGAATCAAAGTTTTCCGCATAAGATACACCTAATTTGCAAGTGAATAGATTTAGAAATTATAATAAAATTGTTTACTTAAAAGTAGTCCACTGCTGGCGTTTCTTTCTCATGCTGTTGCAACATAATCTCATAAACAAACTTCCGTTTTGTACAATTTCACAAATATCAGCATGAGAGAATATTTCTTTAATATTATATTTCTATGTAATATGAAATGAAACGTTACTTAAATAATTATAACATTCGTATGAGATGATACAGAGCGTATAAAAAGTACCGAGACGGCGAAATATCTCGAAAACTAAGCATTTTAGAAAAGAATGTTTGAGACAAAAGTTGTCTCAAATTTAATTGGTGCAAAAAGATGATATAATAAAAAATTGGGATTTCCATTCAAGAAAAATAATGATCAGTGAATATCAGTGAATGTGGCGCCATCTATAAGCAAAATGATATAAGTTATGTAAAATAAAGTTTGTTTGTGTATAAGACAAAGTTGTTTTGTGTCCTCGTTGAAACCATACAATTTTTGTCTAAAACGTTTCTCTCTAAAATGCTTAGTTTTCGAAATATCTCGCCGTCCCCACGCTTTTTATACACTGTACAATAAATACAGGAACACAGATTTTAATGCGTAATAGACTTCACGGTCAGTAAATAAGACATAGCCCCGAATGCATTGATCCGCCAAATTTCAGCAGGAAACCAATTTCGGCAGAAAAGTTCGGCGTACCAGAACAAACATTTAGCTCTTTCTGAATCGTACTCTACTTAATCGTACTTCTAGAGTATTCTATTCTCACATACTTATAAAGATTCGTAAATACAACATGACTCGCGCTAGACAAGTCTCGTGAGAAAAACGGAAAAAACACCTCCGAAGCGTAGCTCTGTGTTTCAATCGGGAGATTTGACGATAGTTATTCATTAGAAAAATGTCTGATTCTCCGCAACTGAGAGCGGTAGATATCGCTGCTCGCCTTATCGATAATCGATGTGACATTTTATGCCTAGGAAAATTACTGAAATTAAAATATATTGAAAGGATCAGTAAGCCCGTCAGGGTCAAGAAGTGGGCCGTTTACCTTACGGCCGCAAAAGCAGCAAAATCGCTCTTGCAGCATCCGAGTAGAAAATAAAATAGAACGCAGTGTTCCGTAACTCCGGCCGGAAACTTTCCTCACGAATATTAAGATCTAATTCGCTTTCCTGACGAGCGAGGACTCTCGCTTGCGAAGGCGTCTCTGAAAATATGAATTTTTTTTCGGAGTATACGGCTCTTCAACTGCATACTTCGACAACTTAACTCTACGCTTCTCCTTTACTTGTGCATTTACACGACACGAGAGAGGAAAACTTGCGATACAGATTAATGGCGGCTGCTGTGTCCTGCGTCCTGTAATCCGTTCTTCGAGTCGATTTTCAACCTTCATCGCGGCCAGACGCTAAATAGCAGGCAAAAAAGTACGAATTAGTCGCAAAATTTACTAATTAACCGACAACGAACGGCACGTAGGATCATTTTTCGAAGATCCTGAATATTTCGAGAGCGTCGCTCGGATCTTGACTTTTCTTCGTCATCGGATGTGTTCGTCGGCTGATTAGCCACCAACGAAGGTCGTTGATTGCCGCGGAATGACCTCGCCCCTCTCGCCGCGATGTCAATTAGTTTGATACTTCCGCGCGGTGCGGAATTCGCGTCTCGTTGACAATCTCCGTCGTGCAATTAAAATATTTCGTCTGCTATTGAAATATTGAATCGGCTCTCGTCGGCATCGCGCTAATTCACGCGTGTTCGCTCGTCGATCGAATTGTATCTCCTATACGCGAATGTCAATGTCAGCGTCGACGGCCGCGCCGCGACGGAGCATCCGGAGCAGCCACGGAGGACGAAGGACGCAGGACGTCGGGACACGGCCAGATGATGGGCGAAATGCATCCATATATTTCCAGATGTGTGAAATATTTTGTTGTGTCTCACTGTTTTGTTTCACTTGGCAAATTTCTAACAAGAACGTAAATCCATATCAGAGTCGTGAGACGCAGATTTTACTGCAACGGCGAATCAGTAAGTCCGTTTGCGCAATCAGTCTCGCAATTCGACGAACAAAAATCAGTTGATGAGTCGCTGATTGTCCATCGAGTAGTTTTTGTTTCACACGACAAGAGATACCGAGATAACGCGTGTGAAGATGTACAGTTAATTACCGCAAAAGCTATTATCAAAGAAAATCACGTTAGTGCTGTCACGGGTGAAATTTCATTCTGATATACATTTTTTTATTTTAGAAATAAAAAACGTCAGGCAAGTGCAGTTAAATGTTTTATTATTAGTGAGTAATAGATTAAAAGTAGAGAAGTTATTGTTCGCGAGAGAGAACTTAACATTTCGTAAGAACGAAACAAAATTCGCAGGCCGGTATATATTTTTTTGTTTTAGAAATAGAAAAAGTCGAGCGAATGTAAATAAATGTCTCATTATTATTATTAAATATTAGCTGAAAAGTAGAAAAGTTATTGTTCGCGAGAGAGAGAACTTAACATTTCGTAAGAACGAAACAAAATTCGCAGGCCGGTATATATTTTTTGTTTTAGAAGTAAAAAAGTCGAGCGAGTGCAAACAAATGTCTCATTATTATTAGTGAATATTAGATTAAGAGCAAAGAAATTATTGTTCGCGAGAGAGAGAACTTAACATTTCGTAAGAACGAAACAAAATTCGCAAGCCGGTATATAATTTTTTGTTTTTGAAATCAAAGAAATCGAGCGAATGCAAATAAATGTCTCATTATTATTATTAGTGAATATTAGATTAAGAGTAGAGAAATTATTATTCGCGAGAGAGAACTTAACATTTCGTAAGAACGATACAAAATTCGCAGGCCGATATATATATTTTTGTTTTATAAATGAAAAAGCCGAGCAAATGCAAATAAACGTCTCGATATTATTGAATATTAGATGGAAAGTAGAAAAGTTGTCGTTTGAAGCGCATAATTTCACACTTGACAACAACGAAACAAAGCTCGCATGGGGTGAAACTCCAGCCGTGATAGCTTTTAAGAGTTAATTATGCTCTCGTTCGAGAGCTTAAAAGCGAGAGTCTCGCGTAGTTTTCAGCCGCGAGTCGCGCAAACGCTGAGACTCGATTTTCGTGTTTTCCCCCCGCTTCGCGATCCTGCGAGCTTATCAGTCTCATGCGACGGTCTTTAATTAATATTCCTCGACACGGGAGTCGCCGTTTAAGCGAATATGATGGACGGACGCGACGTCGGTCGATGACTCGTTCACGTAACGCTCAGATATTGTCTTACGCTCGGTATTCGACGAAACCTTTAAAGAACGTATCTTCGAAGGATGAACGAGCGGGATACGAGGAAGGTCCCATCGCGGATCTCGCGCCTCGGATGTCTGAAATTTCGAAAGCCGCTGACGCATCGGCCAGGTAGCCGCGGAGGGTCGCGCGGCGTCGCTCCGCTGACCTTCATAGATTTCTGGAACGCGCGGAATGCCCTTTTCCCCATCCTTTCGCGAGGCGTTGACGTCGAAAAAGTCGCAGGCAAGGATAATCGCCTTGCACGCGAACATTCCCCGTCGGCCGAAGGAAGGCGGATGCGAACGCGCGGGGAATCTCGCCGGCTACAAAAGTGAAGGCGATTGTTGAAAAGCGATAAAGAGCGCGCGCATGGCGGTTATTAAACGGACGTTACGTACTTTTACGTAAACGGAATCCGTTGGCAGGTGCGAAGGAATTCCGGATTATTGGGGGATCGGATAGTCGTCGTTCGGCGCTCGGCCGGAAATCAGTTATCTCTCTCTCTCTCTCTCTCTCTCTCTCTCTCTCTCTCTCACACACACCCTCTCTCTTTCCCTTGAGGAAACGAGATAAACGTTTATCCGCATCATGAGCGGACTTTAATGCGCGGACTTATCGATTCGGCTTGTGCGCGCCGGAGTCTCTCTCTCTCTCTCTCTCTCTCTCTCTCTCTCTTTCTCTGGCGCTTTTAAATCCTAGAATAATAAAATAGCTAATTATTCGGACGAATGTCGACGCGCGCGCGCGCGCACGATAATGGCGGAATAAAGCCTAATTAACGCGTCGCCTCATTACGGCCCCGAAATAATTATACAATGCGGATAAATCGGCCGTACGCAAGCAAACGATTATAATAATTGAACTAAATTTCAGGGGAGCTTTGCTCGTTTCTTGCCCGCGGCTCGTTGCCCGCCGCGACTAATTAAAGTCCACTCGGCCATGCGTAATTATAAAAACTGTCGGCTCGCGCGCGCGCGACCGGCAGAACCAACGCGAGCGAGTTACATCCAATGTGAGATCCTGGCGAATTGTTTCGGTCGAACTTTGAAACTATTTCTCTCTCTCTCTCTCTCTTTCTCTCTCTCTCTCTCTCTCTCTCTCTCTCTCTCTCTCTTTCCCTCTCTGCTGTCGCAGAGCGGCGCGTCGTCGCGAGTCACGATGAAAGGACGCGCAAGATCATCACGAGCAGCCTGCGTCGCTGCTCGTCCAGGCTGGAAGGAGGCCATCAAGGTGAGAGATCGGATCAGGATCACTCGGTCGACTGGTTAATGCGATGCAACGCGGTCACCATAACGGGTCTCTTCCTCGTGCTTCTCTCTCCGCCGTTCGTTTCGCGCTCGCGCGGCTCCTTTCTTCTCTCTTTTTCCTCGCCGCGCTGCTCGCACTCCTTCCCGCTCACATTCTCCACGCGTTTCTTCCTGCGTTATTCTGGCTCGGCT